ATAACCGCTCTGCTTTGTTTGTTTTATCGTCTCATCCCGCGGTCCTAAATACATCGTTGTGCCGATGCAAGAAAGACGCAGTCAACAAATTATCTTCGTGTGTTAGATTCAAGCACGGGGAGATGTTTTGCATCCCAATCGGTAAAACCCCATTTCTTGTTACAGAAGTCCCTCTCAGGATGCGCACCTATTTTATCGTATAAGATTTGATTTTTGGTATAGTTATTCTATATTTTGTATTCTGAACGCCTTTTTTATTGAATATTACTGTAGGAATAGAATCAAGTCCTCACCGCGGGGACTTGAGTAAAAGGTCAATAGCTGGCTTGCAAAACTGCTGTCTTGCTATGTATATATTTATGGAGTAGGTTGTTGCAGATGAACAATGGGTGGCCGCGGTGGCGATGGCCCTCGTAAATAAGGTACTCAGTAGTCGCTACTGACTCGGTAACCGAGGGCTTCAAATCTGTTCTCGCCGTACTGATCGCTGCTGAGCAGAGCGAACACTCGCTTGGAAATAGAACCGCAATCGGCTTAATGTGAACAATGCTGAGGGAGCTCTGACGCACGGTGTTCACGCGTGTATACTGGATGGCCAGTAGTCCAATGATATCTCCTTACCTCGTCGAGTAATATTTGAGCTGTTTGTGTCGTCCACATCCATTGGTTTATTTTGTGCAAAAATTGAAAGATGAGATGCATTACATTGTTTTCGCGTTTGTGCAAGCTGCTGCTTCAAGCAGCAGCCTAACTGAGCGGTGTGCTACCTGAGCTGGTGCTTGTTGACTGTGTAAGAGCGACAGAAAGGTAAAGCTGACGGTCACTTTTAATCTTCTTTCGATTGGACTTTTTGCTAGCAGAGACCTTCAAGATAGCTTCTGAGAACGGACATAAACTGAAACAGGCCCATCAAGACATCACGAGGTCGCATTGTGAGCAGGGCAGCTAGCAAAGGATGGAGTTTCGGTGTTCCTGTAGCATGTATAATACTTGTATAGATCTTCATTCTAATTTCACCTCCAAACCCTGCAGAGCTCATCAATCTGATTTAAAATGGTAGCAT